TCTCTCTCTCTCTCTCTCTCTCTCTCTCTCTCTCTCTCTCTCTCTCTCTCCCTCCTATATATGGCAGAGAAGATGGAATTAGCAATATCTTAAATATCTTATGCAAGGAGCTAGTCATAAGTATGTTGAAGGGCTTAAAGAAAAGCACGAATATAACTAGATAAAAATATCATTCATTGAAACGAATTAAATGGAATTTCTGAAGTTTAAAAATAAAGTACCTGAGCTGGGAGTGTAGGCACGCAGCTATAATGCCAGCACTTGGGTGGTTGAATCAGGAGGATCACAAATTCAAGCCCAGTCTGGGGAATTTACCAAGACCCTGTCTCATAATAAAAAATTTAAAAAGGGCTAGAGATATAGCTCGGTGTGAAGGCTCTACGTTCAATCCCCCCAAGAAAACCAAAGCAAACTACTTATGAAGAAACAATAAGAAGCATATGACTTGAGCTCTCATCAGAAAACTCTATTTAGCCATGTACCAAAGCAATGACATCATCAAATGTGCTAACCTGGAGTTAAACCCTCAGGGAAAATATTTCTCCCAAGTGAAGAAAAGAAATACTTTCAAGCACACAAATGCCGAGTGTATCTATCACTGGCAGGACCATGCCATAAAAGATATTAAGGAAATCAGGATGAAGAAAAATGACTCTGGTTGAAAATATGGATGATACAAGGAAATGAAAAGCCCCAGATATGAAAATAGGGAGCTAAACAGAAAAGACTTCTTTCTCATTTGTTAAATTTCATCAACAAGCTCAGGATTCTGTGGTTCGATCCCTAGATCCTCATGCCTTAACAGACATGCCCGTAAGGCATCCTGAGATAGCAAAAAAAAAAAAAAAAAAAAAAAATTCCTTCTGAACTTTTAGGGACGAGGAGATACCTCAGTACAATAAGCACTTGCCGGCAAGTGCAAGGGCCTGAGTTCAATCCCTAGTTACACACACACACACACACACACACACACACACACAATCATTAAAAGATGGTGGCTAGGGCCAGCCAAATTGCTCAGCAGATTAAAGTACCTGTAAGCAGGCACAGGAGCCAGGGGTTCAATCCCCAGGCCTGCCATGCCAACCCCACCCTCGAGGTGCACTGAGATGGCAATTGAGTCTGGGTGTGGTGGTGC